CTGTTCCTGTCTAGTTCACTCAGCATTTCTGTTAGCATTTAAAAGTACCTGTTGACTATAGTAGATTTCTTTGGAATAGAGATATAGTTTTAAGTTAAAAAGAAACTATTTCTTCCAGAATGAAGAACACTGGGATTATCTAAGAGTGTAAAACTAATCTGAAAGAAAATGTCTGTCTTTGTTTTTTTGCTGAGGGAAATTCACCCTGAGCTAACATCCCTTGTCAATCTTGCTCTTTTTTTTTTTTTTTTTTTACTATTTTTGCTTGAGGAAGATTAGCCCTGAGCTAACATCTGTACCAGTCTTCCTCTACTTTGTATGTGAGACAACCCCACAGCATGGCTAGTGAGTGGAGTAGGTCTGTGTCCAGGATCCGAACCCGAAAACCCGGGCTGCTGAAGCAGAGCACTTGGAATCCCAACCTCTTAGCCACGGGGCTGGGCCCAAGTTCCTATTTTTTGTACATAAAATTTGAAAAGAAACGGTGACTCTTTTATTTATACAAGTGTTTCCTTTCTCTTGATGGCCCTACCAATAGTACCCTCATTTTACTGAATAAAAGTCTGTATAGTATTCAAAAAAGTAAGCCACATACTCTGCTAGGTGCTTAAGATATGCTAAGGTAATCAGACATGACTCTTTCCCTTAGAAAACTTGTGTTCTAGTAGGCATGTATGCATATAATTATAAGATTTAAAGTGTTAATATAAGATTTAAAGTGTTAAATGCCGTTAGAAGGTGCAGATAAGCTACTGTGGGAATTGAGAGACAAAGAACATTTCTTTCAGCTTTAAAAATCAAAAAGAGATTGTGGATAATATGTCATTTCAATGGAATTATAAAAACTTAAGTAGCGTTTTATAGGAATGTAAGTCAGGATAGGCTAGGTTATATAGCACGCAAAAAAAGTCCCAAATTTTTAGTAGATTAAAGCTGTTGATTTCTCATGCAAGTAACATGTCAATACGGATTGGCAGAGCAACTCTGCACATCGTAGTTATTTGGAAACCCAAGCTGATGACGGTTTTATTTCAACATGTGGTCCAAGGCAGTGTAGCAGGAAATACGTCAAATTGCAAAATGGCTTTAAAAATCATATCTGGAAATGATACATATCACTGCAGCTCGTATACCAAATTATGTAGTTAAATCTAACTTTCAGAAGCAGGGAAGTACAATGCTACCATGTGCTGCCGTACTTCAAAGGCCTCTCTGGTATTTGAAGCAGCATAGGGGAATCCTCAGGGAGAAAGAGTATGTGTACAATTTGTATGGGGGAAACTGCTTAATAGTTTGGAAAGTAGGAATTGTACTAATAATAGTTGCTAATGTGTTTTGAAGTTTTTTTCCTTTTGCTTTTATTAATAGACTTTTTTTTGAGCAGTTTTAGGTTTACAGAAAACTTGAGTGGAAAGTACAGAGTTCCCATACCTCTTATTCCTGCTCCTACTGCCACCAGTTTCCCCTGTTATTAACATCTTGCATTAGTGTGGTACATTTGTTACAATTGATGAGTCAATATTGATACATTATTATTAACTAAAGGCCATAATTTACATTAGGATTCACTCTTTGTGTTGTATATTCTATGGATTTTGAAACATGTATGATGACATGTATCCACCCTTACAGTATCATACAGAATAGTTTCACTGCCCTAAAAATTCCACGTGCTCCACTTATTCACCCCTTTCTCCCTCCCCCTAAACTCTTGGCAACCATAGATCTTTTGACTGTCTCCACGGTTTGCCTTTTCCAGAAGGTCAAATAATGGAATCATACAGTGTGTATGGATTTCCACAGTTGATTTCTCATTGACCTATTGAAGGTGACAGAGAAAGAGTATGTATACAATTAGTTTGTTGCGTGTGTACAACAATCTTAGTTGTTTCCCAGTTTTGGCAGTTATGAATAAAGCTGCTATAAACATGCATGTACAGGTTTTTATGTGGACATAAATGAGTTTTCAACTCATTTGGGTAAAAACAAGGAGGATGTTTTGTAAGAAGCTGCCCAACTGTCTTCCAAAATGACTGTACCATTTTGCATTCCCACTAGCAATGAATGAGAGTTCTAGTTGCTCCACATCCTTGTCAGCATTTAGTGTTGTCAGTGTTTTGGATTTTAGCAATTCTGATAGATGTGTAGTGGTATGTCATTATTTTTTTAATTTGCAGTTCCCATATGACACATGTTGAGCATCTTTTCATATACTTATTTTCCATCTATGTATCTTCTGTGGTGAACTGTCTCTTCAGATCTTTTGCCTATTTCTTAATTTGGTTGTTTTCTTATTGTTGATTTTTAAGAGTTTTTGGTATATTTTGTATGCCAATCCTTTATCAGATAATGTGTTTTGCAAATGTTTTCTCCCATACTGTAGCTTGTCATTTCATTCTCTGAATAGTGTCGTTTGCAGAGCAAAAGTTTTTTAATTTTAATGAAGTCCAACCTAGTTTTTTTCTCATATGGTATTGTGCTTTTGGTGTTGTATCTAATAAATTGTCATCAAACCCATGGTCGCTTATATCTTCTCCTGTTGTTATCTTCTGGGAGTTTTATAGTTATACATTTTACATTTAGGTCTATGATCCATTTTGAGTTAATCTTTGTGAAAAGTGTAAGGTCTGTGTGTAGATTCTTTTTTTCACCTGTTTGTTCAAGTGTTCCAGTGCCATTTGTTAATATTCAAAAGTCAGTTGCTTTCTTATATACCAGCAGTGAACATTTGGAATTTGAAATAAAAAACAATACCATTTTTATTAGCACCAAAAAAAAAATTAAATACTTAAGTATAAATCTAACTAAATATGTCCAAGATCTATATGAGGAAAACTACAGAACTCTAATGAAAGAAATCAAGATGAATGGAGAAATAGTCCATGTACATAGATAGGAAGAATCAATACTGTCAAGATGACAGTTCTTCCCAACTGGAACTATAGATTCAGTGCAATCCCAATCAGAATCCCAGAAAGTTATTTTGTGGGTGTAGACAAACTGATCTAAAGTTTATACGGAAAGAAGAATAGCTAACACACTTTGGAAGAAGAATGAGATTGAAGGACTGACATCTGACTTCGACTTACTATAAAGCTACAGTAATCAAGACAGCATAGTATTGGCAAAAGAATAGACATATAGATCAATGGAACAGAATAAACAGCCCAGAAATAGACCCATATATACAGAGTCAACTGATCTTTGGCAAAGGAGCAAAGGCAGTTCAGTGGAGAAAGTATAGTCTTTTCAGCTAATATGGGTTTTTTGAGGAAGATTAGCCCTGAGCTAACATCCACCGCCAATCCTCCTCTTTTTGCTGAGGAAGATTGGCCGTGAGCTAACATTTGTGCCCATCTTCCTCTGTTTTATGTGTGGGACACCTGCCACAGCTTGGCTTGATAAGCAGTGCCTAGGTCCGCACCCAGGATCTGAGCGAGTGAAACCCGGGCTGCCAAAGCAGAGCATGAACTTAACCACTATGCCACCGGGCTAGCCCCTAATATGTTTTTCATGTAAAGTGTTTGGGAGGGTAGATTGAGATCATATCGTAAAGGATTGTAAATATTATGTCATGAATTTGTAGCCACTGAAATTCTGTTTGGAGCCCTTTAGAAGGTGTTAGGGATCAAGAGGAGGAGATATCATTTTTAGACCAGTGATTTGCAAACTTTTTCAAGAAGAGATTTATTCTGTCTAGTTTGTTATATATAACTTAAAGATTTCATGGAATAAAAGCATGCTGATAATTTTTATTCTTTTCTCTTTAGATTAAGAAATGTTAATCAATCTCCACTAAATTGATTTCACTACCACTTATAGGGTTAAATAATTCGAAAAATATTGATCTAGTCAAAGTGCTTAGTTTTACACATAAGGAAAGTAAGACTGAGAGAAGTAACCTCAGGTTGATCTCAGGGTTACCCAACTAGTTAATGGCAGAGCTGTGAGCAGGGTGGTGCTAGTTAGTGATCTTTCTACAGTCATTTATTAATCTATCATTGATCACTTCATAAATTATTGTATATTGTCATTAAATCTGTTCAGTGATTAAAGAATTTAATGCTAAAAATAGATGTCTAAAATCACTTTGCAAAAACATGAATAAACTCAAACTATAGAATGATACACAGTGAATGATTAGATAGAGCAAACTATAGTCCTTTAAATAAACTTTGTCATAAAACTGAAAGTATTCTTGCAGTTTGTGTGTGTTGTATAAGTACTTTCAGATAAATGTGCTGATTTCTTTGTCTGCTGGCAATGACCTCTTTCTTCATTTGATATACTCTTCTAAGGCCTCTGAACTTGGCTTGATTCCCTCTCTTATCAATATCCGTCTTTACTTCTGGTACAATGTTTCCTGAGAAATTAGTCTCTCAGATGGGCTGAGTTTCCCTGTACTCCTAGTCCAACAGTCTCCTTCGAGAATGCAGACTCAGAGTCGAATGGTCCAGGTAACTGTGTAAACATGGACAAGTGACTTAATCTCTCTGTGCCTCATTTCCTCATTTTAAAATGGAAACCGTAATAAATAATACCTGCTCGGAGCTTTTCTATGTGTGTATGGCTATTTTATCTCTGTTTTAGAGTCTGGGAACACTGACAATGAGCCTGACTAGTACCTACTTCACTTTTCTATTTAGTTGCACATCCAGAGGAGAAAGAAATGAAATGGTTTTCACTAAGATAAAGATGAAATGTATGTTTATATCTAGTATTTCTGCAACACTGAGAATAGCACACCCATTGTGTTTTTATTTTTTCCTTTGAGGATCATTTAAAATTATTTTCATAGAATGTTCACTTTATAATTTTTTAAATACTCTTTGAAAAATTAAGTTTAATCAAGTGTTAATTTTTTCTATATTTTTCACAGTAAAGAAATGTCTGTTTTTTTTCATTGAAACTCCAGCTTTGTTAGGGAGCAACAATTTCCTCCATTGGTAATGTTAAATTTAACTTTAGTTTTCTATTCATTGCTGCGGTTATGTTTCCAGAGCCTGCTGTAAGAGATAAACCCATTGCAAATGAAGACAGCATTCATTTCCTTCCACCTCAGGCCACACAGAATTGATTGAGGTAATAAAATGACAGCACCTTGTAATATACTGAAGGCTCTTTAATTTGAAAACCAGTTCTAACCTGATTCAGAGCTTGTTTAAAGCTAATTTATAGCTTGCATAATTTTCAGCTGGCCGACCAAGGTAAAGGATGATATGTGAAAACTGATAAAGAATTAACTTATGATACATTCAGACCTGTCTTGTTAAAGTCAGCTGGTATTAAAAAACAGAAGTATTGGGGGAGAATAGCAGAAAACATAATTGGTAAGCTTTTGCTTCACATAAGTAACATTGTTGATGACAGTTTAAATTTCCCATCGTCTTATTTCAAACCTGGCTTCTTGTCCTTTCTTTGTCAAATCAGTTTTACTGGTATTTCCTATATTTAAAGTCCTTCATTGTTCGTCACATATTAAGGTCAGCATGAGGCTGGGTACAGTTAGCAGTTGTGACTTCCACAGTGTCAAATCTGTTGTGTGCCATGGTGTTAGTGCTGCTGCTAAGCCGTCTGTCAGCATTTTAATTATAAATAATCTTTTTTCCAGATGTAAGCTGGAAAGAGTTAGAGCTCTTCATTTCTATTTGGGCTGAAATATCAGTCAGTATTAGGCTTTTTGCCTTTGTGGGCTGTTTTTATCTCTTTATTCTAGCATGTTTATTTATTTGTGACCCATAAATAATACAGCTACCATAGTAAATTATTCTGTGGTATGAATGAAGCCAGATTTTCAGAAATTTCATGTCAGCATTCACAAGTGAAAAATAGATTACATTTCCTCTTTTATGTTTAAATCTTTTGCATGGTTATTACTTTTTCCCTTAAAAAAAAAAAAAGACAGTGGAGAATGGGCATATCTTTGTCATATTCTGTTATAACTATAGAACTTTCAGAAGTGCATTTACCATTCTTAACCGTGAGTATCACACTAAGTACATTCCAAATATTTTGGATATCTAAGCTAAAAAAAGTCAATAAACAAATATATTTAACCGTAAGGTTAGATATATGAGACTGAGAAATTCTGTGGTTTCTTCAGTGAAACTTGCCTAGCTATCTAGATACGTATTAAGATGAAGATTGTGGTTAATCTAATTAAGATGTCTGTAGTAAACATGGCCATAATTATTTACTTTTTTGAAAATTATAAAGCAGTGCATGCTTATTATAGAATAACATATTAAGATGAAAATAAAAATTATTCAGAGAATAACCACTGCTAACAGTTTATTTTTTTCTATGTATATTTTTTAAGATCTTAATATTATAGGATGTATGCCATGCATTCTCAGTGGGGGGAGTATTGCTCCAAGGGGGCAAAAGTTTATTACCAAGATTAATTGGTTTATGACTCTCCACAGCTAAACCTTTTCTGATAAAATCTTATTCTTAGTATTTAATTTCTCTCAGGTTTTCTTTGGTATCACACAAGTAGTAATGACATTGAGATCATGGAAAATACACAACATATATATGTGATCAGTGCTATAAAACAATGACAAATAATAGGTGGTTGTGATCAGACGACTTTTGATTAATTGCTTGATCATGAAGTTATTTCACATGAGATAACTGTGTGTACCTGCTGGCTGCCATTGGCTGTCTTGTGGATGTTGTTTATGCTTGATCTTCAGTGCTTTTGTCTAAAACTTAGGCTTTAAGAATTAAATAAAAATAGATTATTTAGCAGCTCGTCATTTTCTCTTATGAAGCAAAAGTTAAAGTTCAGGCGCTGGCCCTGTGGTGTAGTGGTTAAGTTTGGTGCGCTCTGCTTCAGCAGCCCAGGTTTACAGGTTCAAATCCCAACTGTGGACCTACACCACTCCTCCGCCGTGCTGTGGTGGCAACCCACATGTAAAGTGGAGGAAGACTGGCAAGGATGTTCACTCAGGGCTAATCTTCCTCAAGCAAAAAAAAAGTTAAAGTTCACTAAAAATGATTTTTAAGATTTATGTAATTTTTTTCAGTTACTTTTGCTGGAAACATAATAGTTTGACTTGTTAAGACTTGATTTTACATTGTTATATGTTTATGTAAATTATAATTTGTATATGTAACTTGACATTGTAATTTATATAAATTACAGATTACTCAGCAAATGTAGTTTCAATTAAATTACATATTAATAGCTTTTAATTTCTAACTTGAAATTATATTTAGTCATTCATAACCTTATATCAAATAAAAAGAGTTAAGCTTTGTGCTTACTCTTTTTATGTATAAAGTACAGCTATACATATAGCATATGAACAGGTATACTGTATATCTGTGGCATTAAAATTTCATGGGGAGGAGGCTAGGGAAAAAATTTCTAAAAATACTCTTTGGGAGATACTAATAAAAAACATAGTTGACAAACACTGGCATAAACAACTTTTATCCTGCTTTTTCCCCTGATATTACATAATAACCATTAAAAATTACTTTTAAGCAAAGCCAGTTTGGGGCCCTGTACACAGTGAGTGTAAATTAAGTACGTAGTGAGAGTGAATTGAGAAGTAAACAGTAGATTCACTTGTGTTACCAGCATCGGTCGTTATAATCAATTTCATTTGAGATGATAATCCATAAACACTAGTAATCCACAAATACCGGTAAAGTACTAGACCACTTTGTGATTGTTGGAGACAGAGAATTGTAAATATCAATTTAGAGATTGACATATCAATCTCATTAAATCTAAGTCTCAACAGGATTCCTTTGTAACATTTTTTATGTATTACTGTTTGAGGTCTGTCAGATGATCTGACCTTTGGATTTACTATGGTCCTTCCAGTTTGTGTGTATATTTTCCTTTCTCTTACGTAATTCTAGGGTGTGATTTATCTTTCCACTCTTGCACAAACATTAACGTCTATATGCTGCCCACTATTGCGCTATGAAGATTCAAAACTAAGTAAAACAGAATTCTTCCTCTAAGTAACTCTATCTCATTAGGAAGATAGGCATGTAAATTGAAAAACCGAGGGCTTAGTACTCCTTTGAAAATTCTGGGTATATAAGACTGTAGAAATAGGGAAATAAGCCGTTCTTTTATGGAGCCAAGTAAGCACATATTTGACAGAATGAAGTACAACAATAACAAATAATATTTTATTGTATAAATCATATATATTAGACTATATTCTAACAAGTAATATTTGAATTTCTAAAACATCTCACTTGTGTATAATTTTTGCTATTTCCATTAATTATCTTAGGAGAAAAAAAGATTGTGAGACAGGTACTCTAAGAGTGGGAATAGGATATTTTTTATTGTTTTCCTTATTTTTATAGCTTAAAGACTTCTATTTTGTATATTCAGCTCCATTTTTATTTGGTTCACTATCACTAAAATTTAAACTCCTTGACTTGAATCATATAACATAAAAACTTTATTTTTAAAAGTTGTACTCCTTTTTAAGTCAATTTGGAGCCCCTGTAACAAGTAATTTTGGAACCCAAGTAATCTAACCAAACACAAACATATAGTTGTTAGATTTTTCCTGTTTTTATAGATTGGGGAAAACGTTGTTTTTAGAATAAATCTTTTATTTTTCCCCTGTATGTGTTTTAAAAAATCTAATAAAAGCAAAGGCCTTGGAGATAGTCTTATTACAGAAATCTCAGGGAGTAGAGGTGTCTGCAATAAGTGGTGGTGGTGTTTTTATATTCACAATATTTATATATATATGAAAAATTTGGTTTTACAGCAGAAAGTTTTTACAGCAGATATGTTTTTCCAGTCCCACTGGAATTGACAGTAGAAAGCAGTTAGTTATGAGTAATTTAAAGCAAAATTTGTCCCTAGCACAGAACTGATGTATTGAAAAATTTACAGATTTATTAACAAGAGATGTATTAAGAAAAAATGTTTAAGTAATTTGTATTGTTTCTGTTATTAAAAATTAGGCATTTTTCTGTATTTAAGCTTTTAGAGTCACTTATTATTTCAGTGTGTACTCATGGAAATTATTCCGTATGTGACATAGTGTCATTTGCGTTCTACAGGAGGATTAATTTTATAAGTTCTGCTCTCTGTTTGAGTAACCTTTATATATTGACCTAGGAAAGAGCATAATCAAGTTAACCTAATTAAGGTAACTAATTCTCGTACTCTTATGAATTTTATATTGAGAGGAAATTAAAGACAAATGTATACGGAGCTGGCCTGGTGGCGCAGCGGTTAAGTGCACACGTTTCGCTTTGGCAGCCCAGGGTTCGCCGATTCGGATCCCGGGTGCGGACATGGCACAGCTTAGCAAGCCATGCTGTGGTAGGCGTCCCACATATAAAGTAGAGGAAGATGGGCACGGATGTGAGCTCACGGTCAGTCTTCCTCAGCAAAAAGAGGAGGATTGGCAGCAGATTTTGGCTGGGCTAATCTTCCTCAAAAAAAGAAACATATATCATCAGCCTTTGGTTTGAAATCAAATTTAAAGGATTTTGCAAAGTTGTATTATGTTTAAATGAAGAGTGTACCTATTTTATACTAACCCTAAAGTATAGGTAATTTAAAATGTTAAAGGCAAATATCTGGAGTTTGCCAAGCTTTTAGCTTTGTTTCTGAAGAAATGAAAAATAAACTAGAAAAAGTGAAAAATACGACAAGTAACTTTTGGTACCTTTTATGTATACAAAAGGTATAAGGAATGTTTCTGGAATTGCTGAATATTGAGTAAAATTTTCCATAGGATGTGACTTAATGTACTATTCCTGATAATGTACTAATGCCTCATTGTGATCAGTAAGTCCATATAATAATGGTATTGACTTCTGGATTCCTTTCTGAGTGTAGGGATGACCTGAGCTATAAGGCCCGTTATTTGGGGCAGTGGCTTTCAGAGGTGTGACTGGGGAGGCTAGCCCCTTGGCCGAGTGGTTAAGTTCTCGTGCTCAGCTTCAGCGGCCGAAGGTTTCTCTGGTTCGGATCCCGGGCGCGGACATGGCACCGCTCATTGGGCCATGCTGAGGCAGCATCCCACATGCCAGAAATAGAAGGACCCACAACTAAAAATACACAACTAGGTACCGGGGAGCTTTGGGGAGAAAAAGGAAAAATAAAATCTTAAAAAAAAAAAAAAAGAAAAAGTCTGACTGGGACCCACAATTTCCTACACATTCCTGCATACCATCCTACACACATCCCTATGTACTCCCCTACACACATTCCTACACGTGATTCTATGCATACCTCTGTACACCAATTTCTCAAATGCCTACATGCACCTCTATATATATCCCTACAGATGATCCTACACGCAACTCTACACTTAGCCCTACGTGCACCTCCACATCTTTATAAGTCCCTACTGTACACACGCCCTGTACACACACATCCACTACACTAAAACAAAACTTACCCTTCTTCTTCTTACTGTATGTGATGAATCCTATTTTGTCTTTTTCTATTAAATTTCACCTTTAAAACAAATATCATTCGCAACTCACTAAACCCACATTTTCTCTAGACTAGGGCATGCTTACTGTTGTAGTACATCCTGACTGATATATAGGTCTGTATATTTTTGCTAGATGTCTAGGCATATGAACACAGATACAGAAGCAAATATAGATAATCTGGGAGGAAGTAATATTTTGCTTGCATTCTAAATTTTGTGTAGGGTTTTTGCAAGTTTTTGTGATATAATCTTTCATTATTTAGCAATGATGAGCTATAAATTTATAAATTTCTTTTTTTCTCACCATACAATAGACAAACTCTAAGAATATCCTATGTAAAAAGTATTTAAAGAAACTGGAAGTTCAAGCAAAGAGGTTCAAGTGATAAGATTTGAAAGAAGTTCATATAATAGGATTGAAATTTCTATACTTTATGGTATAATGAAGGGCTTCATGCAAGTGGAATGGCGGTAGGTTGCAAATTTTGGCATTATCTGAAATTGTTCCCAACTACTTACTGACATTGAGAAATGTTTAATTCCTGGGAAAGGTCTTTGATATACCGTTCGTCTTATCATGTAAGTGTCAAGAAATCAATACTGTTTTCTGTTATGTTTATTATCTGTGAGGTACCTCTTTTCTTATATGTCTGTTTCTGTGAAATTGAAATAAGTGAAGTATGCCCTTCGAGCATTAGGTTTGTAGTCAGACAGACTTGGATTTGAACTAAGCTCCACTTCATAGTTTTGCCACTCTGGGCAACTTCCTTAACCTTTCTGAGTTTCAATTTCCTCGTCAGTACAGTAAAGATAATGCTTTGTAGTCAAGTTCTGAAGATCAGAGAGTAGCATACGTTGAATGCATTGCACAATTCCTGGCCCATTAAATCGTCTGTAAATGGTAGCCCATATCATCGTGATTATTATTATAGTTATTATTAATATTGTTGCTAATCTCATGTTATGTTTATCCCAGTTTGTGAGCAAAGCCAAGCTATTTTGTTGCATGTATGTTTGATTTTTCGTAACCCAAAGGATAAGAGATGCCTAAAAACTTAAGTAGCTCTCTTTATATAATTGTTAGTGTCAAAAAAGATTGTTTGAGAAAAAAAGTATCATGTATAAATTTGATTATGGACTCTTTTTTCCTCACTTATAACCTGTGGTTTCTGGATTAATATGGAATTATAGCACAATACTATTTCACAGTTTTTCAACAGAAGATTATATGAATACTGTATTTTCTAAGTACCTGTGTTTGATTCAGGCTTTTAGTGTCAAGTTTCATCTAACATTAAATTGTTACTAGTAACAGAGGTCAGTAGATACTGCAGATGTGCTCAGACCTGCCTGAACAAGTAATGTCTGCCTTAAAAAGTTAGTTTGTTAGAATCATAAAGCATTGACCCAGGGA